CTTGGTTCTTCTGTACATTCCCCTTCCCTCTGCGACAATTTGGGGATGCTTACGAAAAAGACGTCGAGGAATTCGACACACGACCTCGATACTTTGGACTGCAATTCATGAAACAACAGGCTTGTCAATGGAAACACAGAAAATGATTAAGGGATCTTCAAATACGTTGTGGCTTCGAAGAACTTATGAGATATGGGTGATTGGAGGTTTTGTTAAGGATAATCGTACCCCTGCGCTAGTCTCGGGAGATCTACGAACCATTTTTGGCGCTAGGAATCTGCATGACGCTTACAATTCTCACATCGCAAGATCGCTCTCCGGGTACTCTCCAGATGCATAATTTGGTCAAGTAACTTGCTGATAAAAATGCCGAAACCGAGGGTCATCTATTGGTTCCGAACCGATTTGCGCTTGCGTGATTCCCCTGCTTTGAAAGCCGCCCTTGACTTGAATCCTGAGGCTTTTTGGCCCGTTTGGACCTGGGACCCTCATTATGTTTACAGAGCTAGAGTCGGAGTAAATAGATGGCAATTCTTGTAAGTCACAACTCTGTCCTTATGCTTTGAAACGTCTGACCAATTTTAGAATAGACTGTCAAAATGATCTCTCTAAGTCCATCACCAAAATCAACGAGAAATCGAAGCTGTTCCTCATGCGCGAAGCTCCGCAAACACTTTTCCCGAAACTATTCAAAGCATGGAAGATTACTCATCTGGTCTTCGAAAAGGATACGGATTCATACGGTAGAGATCGAGACACCGAGGTTATACGATTAGCAAGGGAAGCTGGAGTAGGGGTCATTTTTCGTTCGGGACGTACACTCTGGGATAGCGATCAACTGGTCGAGAAGAATCATGGAAAACCAACTATGAGCATAAGCCAGGTTCAGACCGCTGGTCCAAAAGTCGGAAAGATTCCGCGACCTATACCAGCGCCAAAGTTCTTACCTGATCCCGGAGAATCCAACTTGGACTTCGAGCAAAATCAACCGGAAGTAGCTCCGGACTTCAACAGTGGATCAAGAAAACACGAGGACAAGTCATATGAGAAGATATCAGGACCACATGAAGACTTCACCGTACCGGCGCTTGAAGAACTCGGCTTTCCAGCAGCGACGGGCCCTCATCGAGGCGGAGAAACAATTGCCTTAGAAATGCTGGACAAGATCATCGCCGACGAGAAATACACCGCAACATTCGAAAAACCCAATACAGCACCAACAGCATTCGAACCACAAGCCACAACCCTCCTCTCACCACACCTCCATTTCGGCAGTCTCAGCATCCGAGAATTCTACTGGCGCGTCCAAGATGTCGCAGACAACTACTCTGGCAAAGCATCTCGACCGCCTGTCTCTCTTACGGGTCAACTCCTCTTCCGCGATATGTACTTCGCCGCCCAAGCCTCCCTCGGCTACTCCTTTGGCCAAACACTCTACAATTCGCATTGTCGGTTCATCCCCTGGCACTTACCCAGCAAAGTCAACCATGAAACCAAGACCGTGATAGGAGAATACCACATTGACTCCCCACAGGCAGAAGAATGGCTCCTGCGCTGGAAATACGGCCGAACAGGCTTCCCCTGGATCGACGCCCTAATGCGCCAACTCTGCCAAGAAGGCTGGATCCACCATCTCGGTCGGCACGCTGTAGCATGTTTCCTCACTCGCGGCGGATGCTACATCTCTTGGGAACGCGGAGCTGAAGTTTTCGAAGAATGGTTGATCGATCATGAAACTGCTTGTAATGCGGGGAATTGGCAGTGGTTGTCTTGCACTGCTTTTTATGCGCAGTTTTATAGATGTTATTCTCCGATTGCGTTTCCGCAGAAGTGGGACAAGGAGGGAAAGTTTGTGAGGAGGTATGTTCCTGAGCTGAAGGGGTTAGATAAGAAGTATATTTATGAGCCGTGGAAGGCGCCCATTGCTGATCAGAAGAAGGCTGGCGTGAAGATTGAGGGGGATGGGAAGGTGGAGAAGGAGGGGGTTTATCCGATGCCGATGTTTGACTTCGCAGAGAGGAGGACAATTTGCCTTGATGGGATGAAGAAGGCGTATAAGGTGGGATTGTATGGTGATGATCCGAAAGTCATTGATGGGACGTGGAGGGAGTTGTTTGATGACGATGTGGAGGGTCCAACCGAGGGGAAGAGTTTTGAGGATGCGATGGGACGTGAAGCTGAAGGAGATGACGCAAAATTGAGAGAAGTTCCTGTTGGTGGAGATAAAAATGATGGTGCAGTTGAAGAAGATAAAAGTGGTGCAAAAGAGAAGGGAGGAGAGAACAAAGGTGGTGACGCTACGAAGGGCAGGAAGCGAAAAGGTGTTCAAGGAACGTTGGATGGCCATGTGAAGAAGTCGAAGAAGAAATTGTAACCTCGGAATTTCAGTGGATGAGTTGGTACAATATGATACCGATGAATTTTCGACACACGGTATTTAAATATTTAATCTTTGAATGTTCCTCTGGTCTTCGAACACTCTTTACCCAAATTTAGTGACAAGTGCATTGACTGAATGACGCACATCTTGCTTCACGGGCTCCCGAGAAGCAAGGAAGGATTTAGCAAAAACTCTCGAGACGTCAAATCTAGATATACTTTGAAGAGGAGAGTGAGAAGCAGGGCAATCAGCGCTTCCTCGACGTTCTGAGAAGGTCGCATGGAAGGGTGGAAAACACAAAATCAATATTTTCCCTACATACCTACCTGCGTTCCCCTTTGCCTCTATTCTTAGCCCCTAGAGACACTGTAGGTTCCTCCAATTGACCATCCCGGTTATGATCCGCCATCTCCTCGCCTTCAAAAGAGTCAAATTTTCCTCTTTCGGTTAGCTCCTCTCTTGCTTCCACACAGCCTTGCGATCTATATAGATTTAAATAAGCAAAACTTTTCCATAGCCAACAGAAAACACTAGTTCTTGAACGACCAGCACTAGTTACCTGTCCTCCCAGGCCCAACAGCCATTCGAATTGAGCGGATTGGTTCACCTTCCCCCACCCTTTCGACTAGTTCCACTATTGCATGTATAAGCCTCCCCCTCGAATTGTCTTCCATTGCTTTCTTCCTCTTTCACATGCTCAACTGAATTTGGCGTCTCAATTTGACGCGTCACATCTCACTTCGACCTTGATTCGATTGATGTTCGCGTAAGGTAGAACTTGCTCTATTATTCACTTATCCGAACTCTCTCGAACAGACGCAAGCTGTTACTTGCATGCCCTAGTTTTCTTTCGTTGGGTAGTGTGTTCGTCGTGACCAGGATGGAGACTCGACAGTAGGCCCCTGTCAGTCGATTTGCGTTTCCTGATGTGCTTGTGTGAAGCAAGAATGGAAGTCACGTCTTGGCATGGGGTCTCGCTTAACGATTTGGGGAGGAGTGATGAGGTCTGCCACTCATCATCAGCCTGCCTTCACTCTTCGTACCGGGATTGCGATCGCGGCATCACCGACACTTATGCTGTTGGCGGCAATCAGATCATATGACACCGGCTTCCATCACGCTGTAGAAAATTTGGAACTCATGACCGTGACGTGTGCTTCTGAAATGCGAGGCACAACGAACACTTCGAGCTTTCTTTGTAGGGTCAAGCCGCCTTTTGATATTATGCCTCTAAAGACAAAATTTGAAGGTTGGTTACCCCGACTGATAGTTCGTAGATGGATCAACAGCATGGAGACAATCATTTGCACGAATATTTACGTTGCTTCCAATAATCTTGCCAACATGTGTGTTAAATCATTCCTGCTTCTGGCTAAAAAATTGAATGCTGGTGTCGTCTTCAGGTGTCGAGTAAAGTAAGGTTTAATGCTTTAAGTTTAGAAAAAATATCACCTTTGCGATTTTCTCTCTCAGCAGATTGAAGTTCGTGAAGAGCGAGTTGTCGAGTCGTTGGGAGAGAATATTGAAACTTCGCCAATGAACTCGAGATGCATTCATAAGACAAAAATGAATACTTCGTTCTGAACTTTCTTCGTCTTGAAAACTCATAATGCCGCTAATGTGGGCCCGGTTACTCAAGTAAATGTTTTTGAAAGTGAATGGCGCCCTACCATCGATTTCTCAACCGGGCTTGACTCGGCAAACCTCAGCCTTCCGCGAACGGGAAGTAGCATATAACTTTAAATAAGGATATTTTGTACATTCAAATCAAAGCAGGCTTGATGGTGTAGTCGTATCATTCACGCTTCGGGTATTCATTCCTAATTGTGTGAGGTCCTGGTAAGCTTGATCCTTCTCACCTTCGAAATCCAAAAAATAGCTAATTTCCCAACAGGGTTCAAATCCCAGTCAAGCCCCTTCTTTTGTTGGCCCTTTTAGCAGAAAATAGAAGGGTAGCTTTTTAGATGCATTTCGGGTTTGAACTGCCGTGAGCGATGTGGTCCTCAAGGGAGTGTCTCGCTTAACGCTTCACGCATTGCTTGTGATGTATCGTCCATCGTATTCCCACATGGTAGATGGAAAGGACAGGGTCTGATTTTCAGAGATTGCCAACGTTTCCGTTCAACTCTCGGCGCCATGCAGGTATTGATCATCGTGAACTTCCCGAGCTGCCTCCAACCTTTGTTTATCGCAGCACATTGAAGTTCCAGTCTTGCGTTCTGCAATTCGTAGAAGTCGTAATCTCGGATGGCATTATCGTTCAACATTGAAAGGTTGTTCCATTCTATTTTCTCAGATCTCGATCAAATTGGGAAAGAAAAGTTCGCGAGGGGTGAGTTATTTGACTCGCGAAGTGATTATCTCAATGTCGATCTTCCTTGAACACGCACACCAGCACCAGACAAAATAATGTGAGGAGCCATTGGACTCGATGAATATTTTGCTCCCTTTACCTTTGGTGCTTCAAGCTCCAGCTATGGTGAGATCGATTAGTTGTATCATAGGACTGCGCCATCGACTTCGCCATCCGGACTGACTCACCCGGCGAACCTCACACAAACCGTCTGTAAATGTACCATATAGTTTTAAATAAGCATTTATTGAACATACAAAAAAACAAGGCTGGCTAGTTCAGTGGTAGAATACGTGCTTTGGGTGTTTAATAACAAACAAGTACGTGGTCCTCGGTTCGACCCCGAGGTCAGCCCCATTTTTGCTTTTTCCCCTTGGGGCTAAGCGAGCAACTTCTTTTTGCATAATTTATTCTCTCTCTTTTTCTCGCACAAGCTGTGGGTAATTTTAACCGAGAAATGAACGTTTACTCAAGCTCGTGTTATGTTCTTCGAGAACTAGCCCGGCTTCCGCCAAACCTCACGGCCTGTTTTTGATTTCCCAGGTCCTCATCTTCCCCCAATTTCCCAATCCTACCTCACCTTCTCATCACCATCTGTCAGAGTCGTGAGGTTGTCAGTCGTATCTCCATTACTAAGATTCTCCTAATCCGCAGCTGAGTCACTGACCTTTCTCTGCACGTCCCAGGCTTTGTTTACTGACAGCCGAGTTCCAACTCAGCAGGTCCAAAATATATTTTGTTATTCTTCCAACCTTCCAGAGGTCTCTCGAGCCAGTCATTCCTTCTCAAAACCTCTGCTACAGCAACACCTATGCCCTAGACAACCCTGCCCTTCTTGCAGGCGCTATTTCTGCCTTTACCATCGTGAGTCCCTCGTACAACCTTTCCCCAGGCTAAGACTTTTATAGAGCCTTTCCGGCACACACTCGTCGAGCTCCTCCAAGCCTAAACCCTCTTCAAATGATATACCCCAATCCAACAGCTCTTGAGCACAACAATCCTTACTTCCTTCCACAGCCTAGCCCACTTACCATTAACCACCGAAGTTCTGACTTCTCACCAAAGCACGATTCAGCTACTCAGTTGTCTAGGCAAAATTACGGACGTGACTTTTCCAGTGAACACACGCCGAGGAATTGAATCTTGGCCAAAGGATTGCTATTACATTTGATCTCGCACTCTCAAATGCGAGGAAAGGAGGTGCAGGATGGACATGACGTAAATATCAGGAAGTGCGGTGTTGACTCTTAATCTGAACGGCCCCTAAATCCGAGGTTCTGTGGATTGAGAAAGTACAAAATCTGGAGTCGGGATGAGACGAAAAACAGGGACTTGAGAAGCTACCTCAAGTCTAACACGAACTATCTCCTCAGGATATGCTGGCCGAGGGGGAGGAAAAGGGTTTCTTAAACTAGATATGTGCCACTGACTAGAATACAGACGCGAAAGTCAACACTTCGAGAAAGACACACAGTTGCTAGAAGTTGGTCATCGCCTGCATCCGTTCTCTCTGATCGTGTGGCCCTAAGCAAGCTAAGTGCATCCAATGTGTCATTACCAGAAATCTCTCAGGCAATGATGAGCCTGGGATCGGCATCTCGATCAATGAAAACCCTAGCAGAAGGGGGGAGTGTCCAGAAAGTCCTGGTAGGCTGGAAGATTGAAGCGCTGGAGAAAGCCTCTTGCAGGTTTCGAATGAAGCCACAGCCATATTTGCCAATCAGTATTATTTTACAATAGTAACTGGCGAATGATGTTATTTCTGATGATTGAGATCTTCAATGAGTCAAGACTGGTGCATGTACCCGTCGCTCAACGGCATTTCCTTGCCGCCCACGGAGAAGTAGCAAACAAACACTTGGAACATTGGTATATCCACCTCGCACCTCACCATCCCCTCAAAAACCGCAAAGGAGACTATTCTTTGAAGATTTTCGATATCTCACTTTTTTTATATCGAATTTCTATCCGACTCGACTGAAGACTCAAAGAAATCTCTCCAACTTCTCCACCTAGGGAAGAGCCTCCTCCCCTCACACAAGAACAAATGGAAGAGCTCACCAAGAACTTTCGACCCTACATGATGACACCATGAATTTTAGCCTCCCAGAGCACCACCTCTCCTCTTCAGGCTCTCATCGAAGAGATCGCCAATAACTTCAGATCCAGTCCCGACAGAGCCTCGAAGACATTCGCCAACATCCAAGACGCAGTCCTCAACAACACGACGAGAGTCCGCGACCACATGCAGCCGTTGGCCAGCTTCACTCATCCGTGGAACTCGTGCAAGCTGGCAGCGACACTCGTTTTGGTACTTGCATCTTCGAAAGACACAATGCTTGAAGCTATGAAGTTCCAATCTAGAAGCTTGGGAGGTTTGCCAAATTTGGAAATCACCCGCAGTACTCCAACAACGTCTTTCTCAACTGCATTCGAAATTGCAAAGTCCGTTGCCTTAGGACCAGGAAAGAAGACGACGATTCTGGGCGTCTCGTTGGTTGATATGCATATCTTTGAGCTAGCAGAAAAGGGCCAGTCAGAACCATGGAGTTCGTTCGCGCATACATTTGTTGTTGGAATTCACAATGCTTGAAGCTATGAAGTTCCAATCTAGAAGCTTGGGAGGTTTGCCAAATTTGGAAATCACCCGCAGTACTCCAACAACGTCTTTCTCAACTGCATTCGAAATTGCAAAGTCCGTTGCCTTAGGACCAGGAAAGAAGACGACGATTCTGGGCGTCTCGTTGGTTGATATGCATATCTTTGAGCTAGCAGAAAAGGGCCAGTCAGAACCATGGAGTTCGTTCGCGCATACATTTGTTGTTGGAATTTGATGTAAATGAGGCGTGCGGCCCGAAAGGCAAACAGAGACCCATGGTGCCCAAGTTTGAAGGTTGAACCCGGGTGCATCCCATTCCCGATGTCCGGGTAGAGCATGTGAAGAAATTTGACTTTCTCTGAAGCTGATGCCTGTGTTTTGGATAAGATATGAAAATAATGTGGTAGTACCTCAACCCGCAAAATAGCCAAGATAGCGTGGGTTGTATATTTCCAGAACAAGACTTGAGGCTGGTCGCTAGCCATATGAAGCATAACAGTAGCTTTGTGATTTCTTGCATTTGAGAAACAAAGTTAACGCTGTGCTTTTAAAGTGCATGAACTTCACATTCGTCAAGGCTGTCAGTGGCTTCATTCGTCCCCAACAAGCAAGTCTCGAACTCTCGCCCCACCGGATCACGTATCCCATTTCCCCGATCCGACCGGGGGAAAGTGAGTTTCGGGAACATCTCCGCGAAACTTACACAGCACAAACTCATGACCACAGAGGGTTCAAGAGCTTAACTTTGTCTTGCGCGTCTTCAAGCATCAAAGCCAACAAGACCTTTTAGCAGTGTTTCTAGACAACTAGAAATCCGAGTTGGTCTGCGTTATATTGATGCAGTGCTTCAGACCTACGTGGTCATCCCTGAAGTAAGTAATGGCTCGTTGAGACCATTGGCCTCTATACGACAAGTCTTAGCTTGCTCTGGCCCTCGAAAGTTATAACGGGAAAGTCGAATTCTCTGCAGTGCAAGGCTGCAAGCTCAAATATCTCTCAAAGACGTGGGGCCTACCCCTAGGCATATGCCAGAACCGTCTTTCGGCGACAGAGCTATCTCTCGCCGGTTCGGTACAACGCTACAAAGTACCTTGATGTCATTGGGACATCAGTAAGTGCTGATTACTGCAGTGTTGAAACCCAATCATGGTCTTCTACCACAGTACGGATGTAACGACAAAACAAGACAGAAAATGCCCACATGCCGAAGGATCATGACTCGGGAATACCATTTAAGGCCCTATTCTTGACTGGTTGAGCCGAGCTCTTGCTCCGTGAAACTCAAAAACAACCCATCTTAGCTTTGTTCGAGAAGCCAAGCGGCTCGTGAGATGCGTAGGGGATGCCAGTGCCGATGCTGACGGCTCGGCTGTCTTCCCGAGCGTTATAAATGGCGTGTTTTTCTACGGATCAGCCGTGCTCGGGGGACTTGTTCGAAGGGCCCGTCAGTCAACTTTGATGTAAATATCCATGCACGATTCGTACGTCAATGCGAAGTGACCAAACTCTGCTCACGAGGCCGGTTATCCGCTTGTGCGAGCTCGCGGGGAAGTGTCTTTGTCTGCCGAAGCCGATGGTTACGAAGCCGAATTATCTCGGCCCGGGGCTGCATCAGCGGCGATTCAGCGCATCTCCTCAGTCAAATCTCAAGTTCCACAGGAAGCAAAGGAACAGCCACAGTCAAAGACAACTTGAGGAAAGTTTCGCAAGGAGACAGGGTACACGAAAACAGCTGCACTCCGCAACAGATGCTAGATACGATGCGATGGTCCGAGATTCTGTAAATGTGCGGCAAGCATGAGGAAAGGATAATTAATTTTGCGATCCTCCACGACCAACATTCTCAGAGTCTATTCGCAAGTCAGCGCGATTCCCATTCTTTCTGTCTCGGAAGCCGTAGAGACTCAGCTCATGCAGAGTTCCGGTTTGTAACATGATAGAAGCCATGTACCAAATCATTGCGACAAATATCTGCAAGTTGAAGATCTGATGGCCATGATAAGAATGCTGGAAAAATCGCTGGAAATGGGCGCATTTGATTGATCGCCCAGGCTAGTAATAAAGCGGATGTTGAGGTTACACAAACTCATCTTTAAATTAACCGTGACCCTCGATTGTTGGCCTGTGAACCACTGCACGCTTGCAGCCACATCGCTGCAACACTTGTACCTTTTCAAACGTTGACCGGCAGTTGAAGCCCCCAGGCATTGCCTCATCTGGAGAAGAGTTCCTTGGATACCAAAATATGCAGCAAGCTGGCTGCGATGGACCGTTGCTTGAGATGGTCAGAAGTGGTAAACCGGTTGGCCACCGCGTCCATCGTATGCTCCCTTTTCGGACGAGAGCTTAAGGTTTTCAGAGGCACTCTCATCCTTTCCATGCCTCGGACTATCGGACATTGGCCTGCCTGTTCCTGTAAGGATTCAAGGAGAATGCCTCTCCTCCGTGCCCAACATGGTCCAAGCTATTGTCGCTTGTCACAGCCCAGGTGGTGCGGAACATCGAATAGGCAGATACTCAGCAACTCGGAGATGAACATGGACCACACGTCTCAAGGATACCTTCGAGAAATGATGTTCCTGCAAAGCCGTCGTCTTCGACTTCCACTGCCGGTCTATTTCTTTGGGCGTCATCGGCTATCCATGGAATGGAACGAAGTATGAGATTCGGAGACCTGCTTTCAACGTCGCATGGCCCTTGCGCTCCGGCTGCATCGATTCGCTGAAATTGATGCAATTGGTCCACAGAGACCCGAC